GCATGGCGGACGTAAAAAAACCCTAACTCTTGAACCCTAAACTCCTAAACCTTAGGGTTTGGGGCTTAAGGGTTTAGGGGTTTAGGGTTTAGGGGTTTAGGGGTCTTGAAGTTTAGGGGTTTAGGGCTCAGGAGTTTAGGGGTTTGGCGTTTAGGGGTTTAGGGGTTGATGGGTTTAGGGTTTTGCGTTTAGGATTTGGTACATTTAGGTACCTTGGATCCTATGGGGCTTTGGGTTTGCAGACCATCGAAACACTCCACGGTGCCTTGCGCAAGGTTTCAGTGTCCCTTCCGAGCCTTGCGGCGGTGTCAAAATTTCAAACCCTTCGGAAAGCTTTAGGCGAACATGATCATAGACTTAGAAGTGCAGTTACTGCTGGAACTTGTCAAACATATTCGCATGTGAATTAGTACAAACATTACCATTGCAGTTGGTTTTCGTCGAAGTAGTCGCAGTTGCAATCACAGTCGTGGTCGTCGTAGTAGTATATGGTAGTAGTAGTAGTAGTCGTCGTCGTCGTCGTCGTCGTAGTCGTAGTAGTAGTCGTCGTCGTAGTAGTAGTACATAGTAGTAGCGGCAGCAGCAGTAGCAGTAGTAGCGGTAGTAGCAGAAGTAGCAGCATTAGCAGTATTAGCAGTAGTAATAGCGGTTGTCGCCGCCGTCGCCTTCGCAGAAGTGGTAGTAGTAGTCGTAGTAGCTGAACTGAGTAGCAGTAGAAGTAGTAAGTAGTAGTGGTGAGTGATCGCAATGCAGGACTTAAATATTGTCAAAGTCTCAGCAGTTCCAGCAACAGCGCGCAGTACTGGTAGCATCAGGAGCAGGACTATCTAAACCCCTAAACCCTAAACCCGTGAAGCCTCAAAGTGCCGGAGCCTTAAAACCATCAAGCCAAAGCACCCAAGCATTGTCCTAGGGGGCTGAGTACCCTGGCCCCAAAAAAGGTTAACCTTTTCAATTATGGTAGGAGTATATAAACCCCGCAAGGTTAAAGGTTACCTGCTCAGCTTCTAAGCTATAGTCAAACTTCTTAAGCATAAACTATCTACGACTGAAGTTGCCTGCTATGAAGGACCCCACCAAGTGCACGCAAGTAGCCGCTCTCGGAGGGAAGACGTGTCCTGGATTCATGACCCTCCGTGGTTTAGGCTTCAGGGTTTAGGGTTTACGGTCAATGCACCATGACAGTGTATATACACTGGCCTTGCAGTTACGGATATGGGAACCCTTGTAGCGAGAAACTAGACTTAAAGTGGTTATGAGCCCAGCAAGGCACCTAATGAATTACCGACAAACATGTAATGTAGGGGCCTTAATAAACTAGAATAGGGTTTTGGAGCCCTTTATACTATAAGTATAATTCGGAACGCCTAAAATATTGTACCTAATTATAAGGCCACTATATTAATGAATTACCGACAGACATGTGAGGTAACCCTAAGGGTCCAAGCACCTAATAATCATATACTCTCCCAAGTATTAACCTATATAACTACTATCCATAACCAAAGTACCTAATTGTTGGGTCCTTTGGATCCTTAGGGCGAAACCTACCAAGGGGTCGGTATCAGGAGCTTCTCACTTCCTGCGGGCTTTTGTTCGTGGTTGGGGTGGAACCCCAACTTGCATCAATGTAGCACTCTTACTATAGGGGCCTTAACAATTAGGGTTTAGGGTTTAGGGTTCAGGGGCTTAATATAGGGGCCTTAATAATTAGAATAGGGTTTGGGGGCCCATTATACCATAATTATAATTAAGGAGCCCCCCAAATAGTCTAGGTAACCATTTCGGCCCCTACGTTACATGCATTGTTTATCCTCCTCAACGGTCCCGAGGATGAGATGACGGGGCTTTGGCCAACGCAGCATGCAGCACATGTCAGCTCTTGCGCCCAAGTCGTAGTCTGCCTCGCAAACTATGGCTAGATTTTACAGACACAGTAAACGAACAGATATGTATATTCAGGTAGGCCTGTGCAATACATATATATATATATATGTTGTACAAGCACATATGCCTATCTGTATGTGTGTATATATATATGTGTATACACACACGTGTACGTATATATACTAGACCTTGTCTCTGACAGTAACTCTTTATACCTTCTTGGGGCCTTATTTGAGGTCTCATCATAACACTTATTTCGAGTCTCATCATAACAATAAACGGGTCTCATCATAACAATAAGTTGGTCTCATCATAACAATGAACAGGTCTCATCATAACACTTATTTCGGGTCTCATCATAACAATAAATGGGTCTCATCATAACAATAAACTGGTCTCATCACAACAATGAACAGGTCTCATCATAACACTAAATAGCCCTCATCATAACACTTTTTTGGGGGTCTCATCATAACACCAATTGGCTCATCATAACAATGAACAGGTCTCATCATAACACTAAATAGCCCTCATCATAACACTTATTTGGGGTCTCAACATAACACCAAATAGACCCCATCATAACACCAAATGGGTCTCATCTAACACCAAATAGGCCCCATCATAACACCAAATGGGCCTCATCATAACAGTTTTTGGGGCCTCATCATAACACTTATTTGGGTCTCATCATAACACCAAATAGGCCTCATCATAACACCAAATATGTTCTATCATAACACTTATTTGGGTCTCATCATAACACTAAATAGGCCTCATCATAACACTTATTGGACCTCATCAGAACACTAAATAGTCCTCATCATACTTATTATTTGGGTACCGTTCGTGGGTCCTTATTTAATCATCTAAGTTGAAGCTCTAATTAAGCTAAACCGTTATAACTTAGTTTTCGAAGTGGCTATCTTGTCATATAAGGTCCATTCTTAAATCTGGATTCCAGAAATATATGCACTTTTTTAATTTAAACCTTTGGTTTAATTTGTTGAAATATAAACTAAATGGGTCTCGGCGGGTGGGGGCTATGGTGCTATAATGAGGGCCGAATCGTCATGATAGGCCCTCGCTCCCATACCAACTGGTCCTGACTCCATAACACTAGCCCCTGGCTACCATAACAATGGGTCCTGGCTACCATAAGCATGGGTCCTGGCTTGCAAATGGGTCCTGGCTACCATAACAATGGCTCCTGGCTACCATAACAATGGGTCCTGGCTACCATAACAATGGGTCCTGGCTACCATAACAATGGGTCCTGGCTACCATAACAATGGGTCCTGGCTACCATAACAATGTGGCCCCTGCTAAGTGTTATGATGGCCACCAAATGGGTCCTGGCTACCATAACAATTGGGCCCCTGCTAAGTGTTATGATGGCCACCAGTTAGTAGACTTTTAATAGGAAACCTACTATTGAGTGGCCATCATAACACTTACAAGGTGGTGCCCCCGAGTTATA